GTGATATTCTTATTCATGCCAATAAAATACACATTTTTAACATTAAAATTTTTTCGTGTCATATGCACTTTAAATGTAAGCGATTTAGTATGGATGAATCAACGTTATCAAATGAAGCTCTTAAAAGTATTCTCAGTAATTTACTGGATGAGAAACTTCAACCTTTCAAAGATAAACTTGACGTGTCGAAGGAGATGAATGGGAGAAACTTTACAATGCCCGGCCACTGAAATATTAAAAACTGCTCTCATTTAATATGTTAATCAAATTTACCCTCAGCACAGTAAATAGAGGCATTATTAAAACTATTTTGATCTCATGCGAAATGCTCGAAAAATCTTTGGGAAGGTATAAAACAAATTGTTTCTACTAAAAATGCTTCCTCAGTCACTCTTTCCAAAATTATTACTAATAATAGCATATATATTGTCTGATCCTAGAGCTATTGCCAGTTCTTTTAATAATTTTTTCTCGCACTATAGGTATGGATTTAGCCAATTCTATCAAATCTCCTAACACCTCTCCTCTTACCTACATTAAGTCTTCAATCAGTGAAAGTTTCTATCTTAATCCTTGTACCTCAAGTGAAATTGCACTGGAAATAGAAAAGCTGTCAACAAAGAAATCGTCTGGACCTTTTAGTATCCCAGTGTCCATTCTTATCTATCTCAAAGATCTGATTTCTAAACCTCTTGAATCTATATTCAAGCTGTCCTTCACCACAGGTATAGTACCTGATCCTTTGAAATTAGCCCGTGTAATTCCAGTGTTTAAAAGTGGTGATAGGTCAGATATGACCTATATATTAATGACTTTGTCAACTGCTCCAGTGTCTTTAGCTTTATCTGTTTGCTGATGATTCAAACTTACTTTTATCCAACAAAAACTTGAGTCTATCATAAATACTGAGTTAGAAAACATTAAATATTGGTTGAGTGTTAATAAATCTCTCAATATTGATAAATCTAATTATATTTTTTCCACCCACGGCAAAAGAAGGCATATTCTATTAATATATTCATAAATAAAAGACCTTTATCTTGTAAACCATATGTTAAATACTTTAGGACTTTTAATTGATGAAAATCTAAATTGGAAATATCATATCCAATATGTCATGGGTAGAGTTTGTAAGGGCAATGGAATTCTTTCATAACTTAGACACTTTCTTCCCATTAATTATTAAATTCAAATGTATTACTCATTAATTTAGCCATTTTTTGACTTATGATCTACTAGCTTGGGGTAATACCTATCCTACCTCGCTCAAACCACTTACTATTTTACAAAAGAAGATGGTGCATATTATAAGTTTTTCTGCTTATGATGCACATACTAATTCATTATTCAAAGATCTTAAGATACTGAAGCTTCATGATGTAATAATTTTATATGTTTCAATATTTATGTATCTGTATGGGATATGATAATCAACTTCCAATTTTTGTTGTTGTCAATTTTGATATTCTCTTTACTGGTATATTTGCTTCCTCTTTGCATAAAAAGATTCTTTCTTAGAAGGCATTTAAGTTAAGGAGCACATTATTTTCGAGTTACTTTGGATTGATTTAACGTATCATCTCGCAAACTGTATCACGATGAGATTCTTTATCATAATAATGCAGTTCCTACTAGCTTAGTTAAGTTATTATTTACTAAGCCACCAACACTTACYGTAGCACAATCATATATCAATAAATTCGCCTCGCAGTTTCAAAAACAAGTCAAAAACCATTATGTTTAAGCTCAGTATTYCTGTGGAAAAACCAACACCTATTTATTGGAAATTGCACCGAAAATGATAACAAACGTTGTACCACAGGGAGCCCAATACCTACGAAGAAATGCAATTAAAGGGAGAACCTTCAGCCTCAAAAAACAAGTCATCATGGAGTTATATTTAATATCATTAAATGGCATTCGTTTTACTGATGTCGTTATAGTCTCAAATGCATAATTATCCTTTGGGATCCGAGTCTCAAATACCACAGGAACCCCGCAATAAAGAAAAGTTATCATGACAAAAACCATCTTAACATCTTGACTTTCACAGGGTTGTAGACAAAATTTTCTTATTGGTCCGGGAAATTTCTGATTGGTTCGGTTTTTTGAGGGGTTTTAGTCATATTTCGTACATCTTTTTTTTTTCTCTCTCTTTGCGGTTTCAACCTTACCGGTGGCTACGGCCCTGCGTCAGCAATTTGAGTTCAATCAATTTCAATTTCCAAACGGAACAGGTGCTTTTTTTTACTTAGGCTTGCGAGGCTCTCCATATAATCAATGACACTGACTATGTAAAAAAGCACGAGGCTGTGCACGTTAACAATAACACAAGTAGTTTCTAGCTAAGCAAAACATTGATAGTGCAACCCAGCTTCTTGAAACCATATCTGTTCTGTTTGCAGTCGTACAGTCCCTCACGGTCAGAGAATGCAAAGTGAGCGATGCCTGTCATTCTGTTTTTCATTGTGGGATCCAGAAGTTCTTCGTCATCAAACAAATCGCGGTCTCTTAACAAAATGCTAAGAGCACAGTGCAGCAACACCAGGATGACAGGGCTGTTATCTAATAAGTAATTATACATTTTATTAGTGCCAATAGTGTGCTTTCAAATCATCCAGAATGGCGCTCCTGCGTCACTAACTAAGCCTAATGCTGTTAGTTATTTGAGTTAAACTAGGAAATATTCTAAAATAGTATAATGCTATAAAATTCTTACCATGCACTCCTCTCATGGCGTTCTCGATGTCTGTACCAATTCGTGAAGATATGACACAAAACACAAAGACAGGTCGCTCTCCATCATCTAGATCTTGGATCCAAGACTTTTCTTCTAGCTGAATGTGTTCATTACGCAAGTCTTGCTGAAGTCTGGACAGGATATGCTTCTCGATGTCCTTTATATTATTATTCACACGCGACTGGTCAGATTCTTTGGATAAAATCGCTGTAAATAAAAATAGAAATTGTACAGAATGCAATACTTGCACTTTTGATTATCTTCATGGGTGAGAAGATAAATGCTCTTTATTCCTTTCTTCCTTTTTTCTTCTCTTCTGCTAATTCGAATTCCTTCTTATTTTTTCTTTCTTTCTTTTTTACTTCCTTCCTTCCTTCCATCCTTCATCTACAATTTTTTAAGCAAGGACATGTAAAATCCCAATTTCTAGAATAGTATACATTTAAGGACGGTGCCTACTATTGTCCACGCGCACACGTACTGCGCATCTACATTCGAGAAATTTCAAAATTTATTACTCGAATTGCACGAAACAAAACGTTTATTTTCAATAAAAGTTAAAGCAGAAAACGATCTTAAGTGACCCAGGCTTGTTAAAGAGATAATTTGCTAGGGTTTAAGTATTATTGACAAAGAATCGTAAGTTTTTTTGGGCAAGTTTTGAAAAAATGGCAGACTTATAGTTCTAAAAAACCAAATCCTTTCAATAATAAAGCTTTTTATCGTTTCTTTAGATTTAATCCTATAAAACTTGAATAAAAACAAACAAGAAATACAAATGAAATTGAAAATTTACCATTTATTAATATCTAGGTGTGTAATTATAGTTTTGGAAATATTTTTTTGGTCGCTAAACACTTTCATCATGAAATTCTTTTACTTAAAAATCATGCTGTTAAGTAAAAAGTCGATAATAACTTCAATTCAAACCCAATAGTCTTCCTGGAACTATAAAGCTTATAAATATCGAGGTTTTCTCTGTGTTTTTTGATTGCATTGCAGGAAGCAGCATGCTTAGCTTGACGTGCAAACGCGCCGAAAACAGAGTTTGTCACGACGTTTTGTATGCTGTGTAACGCTTGTCACGCATTCCGCATAAGATTTATCCCTAATAATGTTCTTTGAGAATTCGTATCTCTTAAAAAACGCCTAGATACCTCTATTTTTTCTTCGTTTAAATGATAGAGTAAATGCTAAATTAGCTTCGTGAAATGAAAYTTATAAAAAATAATTGGTTTTGAAAAGAATATGGACATAATCTTTATGTACCTACTGATCGAAAATAGGGAGCACGAAGCTAAAAAATAAATAGAGGATATTACATGGGCGCGCGGAGATACGAAATTTATCTTCGAGTGTTGAAAAGATCTGTGAGAGATTTTCAACACGAGAAGATAAATTGCGTATCTCCAAGCGCCATGTAATATTCTGTTTCTTATATAATTATCAATGAAGTATGTTTTGGCTTTTTCAGGCAATTCTTTCCGTGTATTTTTGAATAGCCATCGCAATGGTGTTATTTTCACACTTTTTAACGATTTTTAAGCCTTATTATTTCTTTTAAATGCATGGTGACCCCTACTTTTCTAACCAGAATTAAAAAAAAAAAAAAGATTCTCAATTAGTAGGCACCGTCCTTAAGTAACATTTAGATAGCGACAATAATCACATAGCCATCCAAGGATTGTTTTGCTTTCGAAGGAATACCCACGATCTGAGATCACAATTGTGATCGGTGATTGGTCATCCATCGAGAAACCCCCTTCGAAATGGCTCAACTTGAATATGCAAATCAACCGTATATAGGTAATGTGTTAAAGTCACACAACGTGTCACGTGAATAGAACAAAATTATAAATTGTACAAATTCGTCTGTATGAATAAAATTCACAATTTGAAAATAAATAAGGCATTACCTATTTTTTTGTTTTCTTACCAAATTTCCGGCAATATTGTTGTCGTTTTAGCCAGAAATAAAAAAATATTATTACAACACACGGGGGCACTGACTTTCTCCATGAGCAAAAGAAGCGAAAGCAAGATATCTTTCTTGAAGCATCTTTTAAAAGACGTATTCCTCCTAGAAGTAGGAACTTGAAGGTACGTTTATTTAGACAATCCCAGATAACAGCGGGGAGAGATATCACAGTCGCTGTCGATAGAAGAAATTAAACATGGCGGTCAAAAACCGAAGATGTATTGGGGTACGTATTACATATTCCAACTTTGAAATTAGGGATTTACCTTAAGAATATTAGGGTATTTTTTTTTGTTTCTTGGTCACAAAAATGTTAATTGCCAAGAACGTTTAATCGGGGGAATATTACAAGGTACATAGAGAGTACTTACCACGTGTGTTATAAAGCAACTCATACACTTCCGGATATGTATATATTGTACTAAACTCTAAAAATTGGAAAAACCTGCCAAATCCCGTCCAGTGATATAACTGGTTGGAAGAAGTGTGGAGGATAAATTCGTACATGGCGAAGCTTGATGTTCAGGAGTTTAGAGAATTCCAAGAATCAACTGATTTCAGTATTCAACGACAATACTAGTTCGCTCGCTTCCAGGAAGTCTGTCGACTTTCCACGAAATGATGACCTCTTCGTAGTAAACCATGTGAAATAACTACAAACAGAAACGCCTTGGCATCTATAAATCTTGTAAAAGTTCGCTTCTTTTAAGCTGCTTCTCGTTTATTGAATACTGTAAAATGTTATTCACAGCATCTAAGCGACGAAGGTGTCAGATATGAGGAAAGGTTGAAAGGTTTCAACATTGCTGAATGATTGAATAATTATGTTTGACGCGTAACGCAACACCGATTTTTATGAGCGATTTTGATAACTGCAGTAAAGTCCTGAGATTAATTTTAGTTCGACAGAATTATCATTCTTCATGAATAAATGAAATTGGGATACTAATATTTTATTTTTCCAGTTGATGACTGAAGATCAATAACCTTTCTTTAAAGCTTTACTTCCTTGATTTTATATTTTTATTATATACCTTGACAGAAAGGCTGAGGTCGTGAATATTTTGAATTGTTAATTTCGTGCATGCTATGTTTTTTGCTTTTTGTTTGTTTGTTTGTTTGTTTGTTTTTTGGGTGTGTTTGTTCGTTTGTTTTCTTTGTATCGACAGTATAATGCTTCGTTGCATATTTAGTTTGTTTTCGCGGCTGGTTTGTACACTAGCCGCCACGGACTTCTGCTTTGTCCACTATCATAGTTACTCCATGTTTTAACCTGCATTTGTATGTAGAGTGAACAGCTTGATTACTCTGTAAAACCTTGGGAGTACTCATCAATTTATTTGGCACCATATAGAACCATTGCAGCAAGTCAGGATACAGATCAATTAGGAGGGACATAACCGCACTTGGTTTGTAATTATCGTGCTAGCTAGATTGAATTATTTTGTTTTGTCAAATTTAGCTGCTTGCAAGGGGACGTTTATAGTACGAAAATGTACTTTTTTAAATAGTTTCACAAGTGTACTTTTTGGCAGGAAAATAAATATTATCTTAAAAATTAATATGTGAAACAGTAACATATTCATTTCAATTTATTTTGTCCTCTATGCGTGTGTTTGAATACTCTGAGGTATTGCACAAGTCTATGATTTTATGAAATTAATTTTTATCATTTTGATGAACATAACTAGGAAAATCATAGACTTGCAATACTCCAGAGTATTCAAAAAGTAGAGTTCGTATTTTTTCACTATTAATTAATAAAGAGTTTTTAATATCCTAAGAGTTCATCAATATAACATGATTTCCCACATCATGGCAAACGTGTGACAAGAGAAAGCAGCTTCTGATACCCAACTGTGTTCTGATGACAGTCGTACAGTCCCTCATGGTCAGAGAATGCAAAGTGAGCGATGCCTGTCATTCTGTCTATCATTGTGGGATCCAGAAGTTCTTCGTCATCAGACAGGTCACCTCTTAACAAACTGCTGAGAACACTGTGTAGTAACACTAGTATGACACGACTGTTACCTAATAAAGGAATTACAAAAATATGGTTACCTAATAAAGGAATTACAAAAATATGGTCAGTAGAGTTACAAAGCTGTTTGGTTGTATTTGTTCGAAAGTATATGTTCCTGTGTCCCCAAGTCCATTTGCACTAAGTGATGCAACCCTTTAAATCCACGGAACAGAGGTTAAAAACTCTAGTCCTAAAGGAGAATTATGTTCCAATACAACGGATGCTGAAAATAAATAAAGATCTCTATCTCTAGCCCTTATTGTAAGACTGATGAAAAGTGGCAGTGGCAGTGGCAGTGGCAGTGGCAGTGG